GACACTGGATTATACAGATTACATGATGCAGCTTAGTTAGTGCAGAGATGTCAGTGACTCAACGTGGTGGCACCCAGGACAGCAGCTCAAACTGTTTCCCTCCAGTCACAGATGCCCCTGAAAGGGTAGTGGGGAGCTTTGGTTAATCTTTTCAGAAGGAATAAATGCATCTAGTGGGGGGTAACACTGGCTGGCCAATGCGCAGTAGCCAAGGCTGACGCGAGAGAGGTGGAGGCCTGAGCTGTCACCTTTTTATGGGCCCTTGAACAAGAACAGCAGATTCTGTGCTCCAGAATTGTAGAAGGTTCCCCTGCTATTCCCAAGGAGGGCATGTCTATAAATCCTATAAATCCTTTCATAAGCTGAATGGCATCAAGTGAAGAAGCCATTACCATTAATTTATGTGGAGAAAATTTTGAGAATTCCTAGACTCAAAAATAACCTACCAAATCATACCAAGTAATACATAAAACCTAAAATCCCACTAGTACCATGTAAGAACAGGAAGGCTGGGGTGAATACACACCCCGTGAAGTGTAGTTCCCAGGGTGGGAGCTTGGTGGGTGCTTGACGGGCAACAGCTGCTGCAAAACCAGCACTGAACGTTATATTTGCTTTTTTTTTTTTTTTTTAAAGATTTATTTATTTATTTATGCAAGCACTGGGTACAGTCAGAAGCGCGGGAGGGTGAGAGAATTCACCAGAGCCAGAGCGGGGAGCAGAGCAGGCAGAAGGACCGAGGTACACTGCTGAGGGGAGCAGCGGGCGGCAGGAGAGGTCTGCGCGCCATGTGGGACCCTCCTCCGGTGGCCTTTTGACCTTTTAGAGTTAAAGTGAAAATCCTCTTGGGGTATCTCTGTTTTTTAACATTTTATTTATTTTTTCCCACCATCTACTTCTTGGACACTTTGTCCTGCTGGCCTCCCACTTGACGTTAGTTATCGATGTTTGCTAGTTTGTGATTATTCTGCTTTCTCAGTACATCCACTGACTCCTTGTTTTACTCATCTGTATGAAATTGTGCAATGCTGGTCTTTATCTTTCTAGCTTGTTTTATGACACACTGTTCTCTTAAGCTTCTTCCATCAGGACAATTTGTCTTTGCTTATGGCTGCTTAGGGATTTGAACGTGCCATGTCGTCTCTGGCGGTGGTAACTTAGGTTGCTTCTTGTTAGCAAAGACAGGTCCTAATGTAGGTGTTTCCTAAAAGGGAAGTGGCTTAGCATGTACTTTTGAAAAGAAGGGAGTACTTGTAGATGCAATTGGGAGGTAATTGCTTGCTTCCTGTTGATGCCTGGGATGTCCTGAAATACAGTCTGGAGGAAGCGTCATTGCAGAAAGCTGATGACATTTGCTTTCCCTCCAGCTTGCGTGTTTCTATATCTGCCGGCCCTTCGCTGCCGGCCATTCTTCTGCCCAGAATGGGCCCCTTCCAGCCACAACCTGGTGCACCAGTTGTAAGCCTCAAGTTCCCCAGAAATGTCATGAACTCCACTCCCAAATGAAGCCAGTTCTCTTGAGAATGAGTCTCAAGGGACTTAAGATTGGGAGTGTGATGGAGATTGTGGATCGATCCATTTTAACTCATCCCGGTGTCAGAAAAACAACGCCGGAGCTTTGGCCCGCTCGGTGCCAGAAATGAGCGCAGACGTGGAATCAGTAGATGCGGGTCTGTCTGCTGCTTATTAACTGTGTGACCTTGGGAAAATGATGAGACTTTGAGCTTCAGTTTCCTCAACTGCGTGAACTGAAATAACAGGATCTCCCCCCGGGGTTGTCCTGATGATTAACTGAGATACGGGAAAACAAGTGTTCAGAGCACGGTCCGCCGTCCCTTTCCTTAAATGTGCGTTTTAGGGCTGGTTGATCAGCGGCATCATTTTCAATCACTGAACTATCCCTCCAAGTGATGAACGCCACGAGGCATGAACAGAGCCTTTGGTTTCTGGAAGAGGCTGGGAGGGAATTTGAGCCCGAGAATAAAGCTTATCTTTTGGGAAATGACTCAGGGAGAGGAGTGGAGAAGCGAGGAGGGCATGCCTTGTTGTGCAGCCTGCAGGACCAGTGGGAGCTGGTCCCCAAGACCACAGCAGCAAAGTCCATCTAGAAGCTGGAGGAGCCTGGAGGGAGAGTCCAGAGGAGCTGGCCCGGGGATGAAGACTCAGTCCCTGGGTACTCTCGGGGGCACAGCCCATGTTCACTTGGCTTCTATCCCATATCTGCCAATAAAAATTAAGAAATTGATTTTCTTTTGTTTGCCTCTGAGGACTAGGCTCTTTTTATGAGACAGTAAATGGAATCCCTCTCTGAGCATGGCTGGATTTTTAATTGTGTTTGTTGTGCTTTCACTTATTCCATTTTATGAGTTCCTGCTCCCAGATTTGTTGATGCGAAGTGCTCACTCACCAGGGACACGTCAATGTTTGATTTGTATCAGTAGGAAAAGGTTGAGGTTTTGAAAAAATCATTTATTCTGAGGGTTGGCTTGCTTGCTTCATTCTGACACATTAAAAACCTGGAGGTTCCAATTGTATGGGGAATATAAAAATAAAATTTATTATTAAAAAAAATAAAATTAAAAAAAAAAAACTTCCTTTTAAAAAAAAATAAATAAAAAAAAAATAAAAACCTGGAGGTTCCCCCCAGGTTTCCTTTCCTTTACTTCCCCACTCGGATGGGGTGAGGAGTGGGGAGTCTTTTCAACAATGCAGGTCATGGTCTGGCTCTTTGTGGAACTGTATTAGATTAGACAGGATTAGAACTCCCTTTGGGCGTGGGGCATTGGGAGGAGGCATTTGAGATGAATCCCTGTCATCGAGGATGCTAAGAGCCTCCTTGCATAAGGCACTTTTGTAAGGCTTTGCTGAAGAGGGTGTTTAGCGGGCACAACATTGAAGGAAATGATGAACGTAGCATTGTTTGATGGGAGGTGGTTTCTCTCCTGAATTAGTCGGCATGAACCAGGTTCTGCTGTGAGAACAAACAGCACCTCTGCCAATCACCATGACTTTAGACAACTAAGCTGCATTTCCCACTGCTCCGCATGTGCACCACTTCCAAAAGTTCACTTTGGTTATTGATGTTCGATAGTTTGTAATTATTTTGCTCTGTGAGTTCATCCTCATTGATTCCTTATTTTATTCAGATTTGCAAATATTGTCCAGTATTTGCCTTTGTCTTTCTGACTTGCTTTACTGCACAGAATTCCCTCAAGAGCTCCTTCTATTTTGCCGTAAACGGTAACCTTTCATCTTGCAACTGAATAGAATTCTATTGTGTGCCTGCACCACCTCCTCTTGATCCAGGCCTCTCTCGGTGGGCATGTAGCTTGCATCCAGGTTCTGGCTATTGTAAATAATCCTGCAATAAACACTGTGGAGCATGTAATTTTGTGAGTTGGTGGTTTTGTATTTTTTGAATGGATGCCCAAGAGTGGGATCAGTAGGTCATATAGTAGTTCCATTTTTAGTTTTTTAGAGTCGGTCTAGACCACTTTCCAGAATGACTGCAGCGGTTCACATTCCCGACAACAGTGTAACAGCTCCCTGCTCTCCATGTCGTCTCCAGCGCTTGTTTTTGGGGCCTCTGCGTTCTCACGGGTGTGAGATGCTGTCTGTGTGGTCTAACTTGGCAGATCCGCTATTAAGAGTGATGACGAGCTTATATCCTTACATCTGTTCGTCTTCTGGATTCCCTCTCTGGTAAATTTTCTTTTCATATCTGCTGCCCACTTTTTAATTGGGGTTCTTGTTTTTTTTTTGTTGTTGTCAAGTTGGGGGTGCTCAGCTCTTTTAGTGGAGATCACTCTGAAGTTTTTCTGCATGTTTGCAAGGTGTTTTCAGGAACTGCTTTCTCTCTGCAAGGTGAGTGGTGCTCACTGGCATGGGCGGCCCGGTGTCCCTCTCCCCCTGACCCCACCCCCAGGCGGGCATTCCACATGGCTTGGAATAGGCCTATCTGTGATGATGGAATGGAATTCAGGTCCTCGGTTTGCATTTACACTTAGTTCTGTCTTGTTGGCGCTATTCGCTATTTGATGGGAAATACTCTCTCCATAAACTTCAGTAGGAGGTGACTGTCTCTGCGATGGAAGCGCTGTGCAGGCCACGAGGCCAAGTGGAGCAGGCGCTTCATCTTGGGACCATGGATTGGGAGGCGCTGGCACAGCCACGGCTGCTCACTCTGGGGAAGTCACTGGTGTGTGGGGGAACATCGCACCACCCAGCAGAATCACTGCTTTAGCAGGATCATGGCATTTATCATCATGGTGAACTAGCGTTTCATAATCACCTTCTTACTGGGTTTCTCCTCTGGGTTGGAAAATGGCGGGGTTGGGGTTGGTGAGGACACAAATGGTGTTCTTGGAAGCCATTGGGCAGTTTGGAACTTTCTAGAGTGGGGCAGCTGCTGGTGGGCTCAGGAGGTGCAGCCTGTTGACTGTCTTGTGAGAACGGGCCTTGCTGTCCACGGGGCCCGGAGGGTGCTGGCCGAGTCCAGTGGAAGAGGCCTGGGGTTCCTGTAGGAATCTATGGCCACTCTGAAAGGCACTCTGTCTCCAGGGCCTCATCGGAGGCTCCAGAGCCAGCTAGACGTGGGGCTCAGAGGCATCTGAATCCCAATGCCGAGTCAGCCGTTGGGGTGGGATTTGACCTCCATGGCTTCTCTGGCTCCTGAAAGGCAGATGGACACACACAAGCTGTAAGATTATTTTAAAAATCCCATTCTTGCCTCATAACCCAGGACAATTTAAACTTTTTATTCTGTTGAACTAGTTGTGATTTTCGGGCCGTGAAAAAAATTCATTTTGATTCACCTATTTTGGTGCTGCTTATACGGGGTGATGTTTCTCTTGAAGCGAATGAGGGGGGTGGTTCTCTGCATTTGGGGGTACTGCACCCTGTGGTGAGCTTCGCTCTAATGGAACGGATGGCAGAGAGTACAGGTGTCTGGGGCGGGGCTGGCTGAGGCCTCACCATGTGTGTCTTTCCCGGCCGTGCAGGTCCCGTGGCAGTTATCAGTGGCGAAGAGGACTCAGCCAGCCCGCTGCACCACATCAACCATGGCATCACCACGCCCTCGTCACTGGACGCCGGGCCAGACACAGTGGTCATCGGCATGACCCGAATCCCGGTCATTGAGAACCCCCAGTACTTCCGCCAGGGACACAACTGCCACAAGCCGGACACGTGTGAGTACTGGGGTAGAATGCTGGCCCTTCTGGGAGGGGAGGGTGGCATGGCCAGAGCCCACATAGCTGGGGTTCTGGAACCTTCTGGGGTGACCTACCTCCTGCTAAGCTTCCCACTCTCTAAGAGACCCTCCCCTTTTGTCTCCAAACTTGAAAAGTCACCTGGGCAGGGGGCTTCACTAGGGCAGCATCTGGGGTAGAGAGATCTGAGGGCAGGAGAGGTGGCCCAGTGAGACAGAGGCCTTGGCGGGCTGGTCATCTTGTCAACCCAGCCTTTGTCTTAGGAAGCAGAACCCGATTCTGTGGAGACAGCAGCCCCTGAGCTCGTCCACCACAGGGGGAGGGGGTGGGGGGCAGTGAGGCCAGTGAGTCCCGCTAGCCGCCCCCCTCCTGCAGTGTCCCGGGAGGTACTCTTTCTATAAATCAGACCTCGACCCCACTGCAAATCCATGTCTCCCTCCCAGCAGAGGGCACAAACACACCTGCTTCCTTCTGTCCCCCACTCTGGTGCCCACCCCCATATTCCGTAGCTCTGTGAGGGCCCCTCTCAGCTCCCAGAGCCTCCATGGCTTGACCCTCCAACCATCGGGCATTCCCCATGCTGCGTACCCAGGTTCAATCCAGGCCACCCCAGTGCACACGCCTCCCTCCAATGCTCCTGCACCCCCAAAGTAGTCAGCAAATGGTCAGCTACCCCTGGAGACAGAAGCCCCTGGAGACTGCCTTAGGGTGAAGGGACAGAAGGGACGGGCTAAGGTTTGGCCTCATCTCATAAACAGGAAAACCGAGGTTCTGGGGGGCTGTGAGCTCCCCTCCCCTGTCCCCAGTCTTCTGCCAGTCGGTTCTCTTCTTCTCTCCCTGGTCCCGGGGTGCCGAGGAGGGAGGACCTGCAGTCCCCCCGGCTGAGCTCTCGGTACTCGGCCACACTCTTTGCGGCTCACGGGACTCTTGCTCCCGCTGGCTCGCCTCACGGCAGAGCGGGCATCTGCTCCCACTTCCGCCTTCGCTTAGGTTCCTCTGGCTCTGATGTGTAGCGCAAGGCTGGCACGGCAGGCGAGCTGGGCTGGGGTCAGAGCAGGCCGCCACTTGCTGTCAACCTTGGGCGTTCTCCAGACCATCTCAGCACTTATCAGATGCCCCGACAGGGTCCGTGAGAGGGAGGCGAGCTGCCCAGGGCCCTGCCAGAAAGCAAGGACGCCCTTCCATCCTGGACTGGCCAGCGTGCGGCCGGGAGGAGAGCCCTCTGGGGCGTGGGTCCTGGCCTGTCCAGGGTGACGTGGTGCTTGAGCAGAGGCTTGGGGTTTGCGTGTTGATGCTCGTGGTTCATGACGTAGTTACAGCCATAAGGTCACGTGAATGCTGCTGGGGTGCTGCAGGGCCAGCTTCCTGCGGCCTCTGTGACTGCGTTTTTGCCAAGTTACCAGTATGTAGCCTGCATACAGATGTTCTACTTAGTGCGTATTGTCGATTCATGGACATTGAGCTCGGGGCTAGCAGCTCTGCAACTTGTTCGTGAAGGCACAGCACAGCCTACTTGTGCTTGAAAGTGAAATCACCCCAAATAGCACAAATAAGTGAAATATGGCACTAAATGCACCACCACAAATGCACTCATTTACGGTGTGAGGACAGAACAGTTACAGAGTGAGGAAAGATACTTTGTATTATGAGAAAAGATACTTCATAGTATGAGGAAAGATTTTGCAAAGTGAGGAAAGGTAATTTACAGTGTGATGAAAGAGACTTTACAATGTGAGTAAAGGTTCTTTACAGCATGCGAAAAGATACTTTGCTGTGTGAGAAAAGATACTTTGCAGTATGAGAAAAGTACTTTGCAGTGTGAGAAAAGGTACTTTGCAGAGTGAGAAAATATACTTGGCAGTATGAGAAAAGATACTTTACAGTGTAAGAAAAGTACTTTGCAGTATGAGAAAAGATACTTAGCAGTGTGAGAAAAGGTACTTTGCAGAGTGAGAAAATACACGTGGCAGTGTGAGAAAAGATATTTTGCAGCATGAGAAAAGTTACTTTGCAGTGTGAGAAAAGATACTGAGCAGTGTGAGAAAGGTACTTTGCAGAGTGAGAAAAGATACTTGGCAGTGTGAGAAAACATACTTTGCAGTATGAGAAAATATACTTGGCAGCATGAGAAAACATACTTTGCAGCAAGAGAAAAGATACTTGGCAGCAAGAGAAAAGATACTTTGCAGTGTGAGAAAAGTACTCTGCAGCATGAGAAAAGGTACTTGGCGGTGTGAGAACAGGTACTTTACCTTGTGAGGAAAGATACTTTACGTGGGACAGATACTTGGCGGTGGGAGGGAAGGGAGTTCACGGTGTGGGGGTGGGAGACGCCAGAGCATGGTGTTGCTCTGCTTCAGCTGGGAGCTCAGCGTGTGTGGTGGGTGACTCAGTTTTCTCCGCCCTCAAGTGCTCGTGAAGAGCTGAGACGGCGGCAAGTGTTGGTGGCGGGATGGACACATTCTAGTGGGTGGGCGAGAGTCTGGGATACAGAGGCTGGGAGTCATGGGGGCAGACTGCAGGCCCTGAAGCCTGCTGGGTGCCGTCTCTGGGCCCTGGCCGTGGCAGCCTCCTCTGGCGTCCCTGTGGAGACCTGGGCCCAGGGGGACAGAGCTGGGCAGCGAGTCCCTTGGTGTGAGCCGGGGCTGGCTCACAGGACATGCGTGGAGGGGCCTTCCTGCCCCAGCTCTTGCTTCATGCGTCCAGGCAGGACTTCCTGTACCAGGAGGCAGGTATGTTGACAGGTGTGAAGGAGGCACCACAGCCCCCATCACAGGGAAGCCCGAGCTGCCAGCTCAGGCCGCAGCAGGGAGCGTCCTTCTGGGAACATGTCTGTCCCCCCATAGACAGGCTCTTGGTTGCTCTCAGAGGACCTGGTGGCCAGCACGGACGTCTTGGCATCGGGCTCATCCTCCCCCTGCAGTCCAGGCCGCAGCTCTCCCGGCAGGAGCCTGGCCGCCCCTCGGCGGTACCCCCGGGCCTCACACCACACGTGATCAAAGCCACCCAGCCTGCGTAGACGAGCAGGCGAGAACATTTGTGGCATTGCGGGAAGCCCGGTCACTCCCTGGGCGAGGACGGCAGGAAGGGGGATGCAGAGAGGAGACAGGCTCAGGTGGGGTGGGGCCTTCCCATCCGAGCCCCTTCCTCGCGGCCTGCAGGGATGTGGATGTGGGGCGAGATTTCGGGGAGTAGAGCCTGGGCAGGTCCCCACACCCGGGTCAGGCCGAGCCGGCGGGTTTCTCTCTAACCCGCGTGTGAGTCAGTTGCAGGGACCCGGCGGGCGGTGAGGACGCAGCCCCCGTGTGTGTCCGTCTTCCCTCCGGCTCCTGGTGGTGACCACAGCGTGTCGGGGCTTGAGGATATTTAGGACCGTCCGGAACCTCCCTCCACAGGGCCCGGTCCTGGCCAGTGCTCCGTCTGGGGCCCTTGTTTTGAGTGGACTCAGTTCCCGGGGACAGGAAGCGCCGAGTCCAAAGCCTGCTGGGGCCTCTCGTTACTTGCTTGAAGCCCCCAGTTCTCGAAAGCATCAGACACGCAGGGGCCTGTGTGGTGGAGAAGCTCCTGGTCCAGGAGAGGTGGACAGGGACCACGCTTTCCCTCCCGTGGCGGCGCTGTGGCCCAGCTACCGGGACACCATCCTTCTGGACCCGTCGCTACGGAGCTTGCTTTGCTGGGAAATGAGCTGCCAAGGCCTGTTCCCCAGCGGCGCAGGGAGAGGAGCTGTGTGTGATGCGGTGTTAATAGTGCGCCGGCGTGATCTAGATTTCTGACACCTTCTATACTAACAAACATCACTCAGCGCAGGGTCATGATGGTGTTTATTTCCAGCTACTTTGCTCAGCATAATGGACTTGCAGATGAAATATGGAAAATGGGCATCTTTGCCTGCCAGCCCCGGGCCCCTCTGGAGCCGAGAGCAGGGGACGGGCATGCAGCAGAGTGAGCCTTCCAGGTTCTTCTCCAGCTGGAGTGCTGCCAGCCTGCCTGGGGGAAGGGGGTTCTGCTTCCAGTCTGGGGCCCTCCCCTGACAGTGCTGCCCACTGTCACTGGCTCCCTGGTCATTCAGGAGACTGGTTCTGCCAGATGTGACCCAGGAGAGAAAGCACTAGTCGGCATGGGCATCTGCTCTTGTTCTGCTGGTTGTGTCTAGTCCGTTCTCATTGAGGGGACTTTACGTTGCCCTGGCAAAGGTCAGTGGTGCCCTTTGCCTGAGCCTTCTCCCCTTGAGGTTCTCCCCAGCAACTGTGCCCCGCTGGCCAGGCCATCTTTCACAGAACATTGTCCATGGGCATAAATTAGGGTTGCTCCCCCACGCTGCCTCCTCTTCGCTCCTATTGTCAGATTCCCCCAGAATCCTGTGATGCTAGTTTTTGTGAGCCCAGGGTCTCAGACATGCCAGTTTCCTTCCCATCTAGAAAGAACTAGATGGTGCCAGGATGGGATATTTTGGGAGTCAAGGCTGTAAGTCCTGGGCCACATGCTGAGCTTGTCTTCAGCTTCTCAGTCCCTCTGGATTGGCCTCAGCTGGGTGCGGACTCCCAAGTCCCTGTGACATTCCGTCATTTCCTCCCATCTCAGGAAGAACAAAACCAAGTCCTGCCATGTCCCCTAAATGATCTGGGACCCCTAGACCTTCCTGGGCATGCTGTTTGGAGATGTGGCCCCCTGGCCCAGCAGGGCGACTCCAGCCTCTCCCCGGGCAGGACAGCCTGCCTTACGTCGAGCTTCCTGGCCCCCGTTCTGAGCGTCACTGCCATCATCATAGTCAAAGTCAGTGGCTGCAGGCAGTCATGCTAATTAAGTAATTAGGCATAATTATGCTCACTGTAAATACATGGTAATTGGCTTTAAAAAAGTACTTGGGGGAGAAGCATGTGCTTCATGGTGAAGGAGGTGAGGGGTGACAGGACCCCCGGCCAGGGGAGCAGTGGGGTTGGATGGGGGACGTGGGCCCAGGTGGCTCGCACCCAGCAGCT